TCTCCTACGATAATCACATCCCCTTATTGACATCCGGCCCAGCTGTATCCACTACACACAGTGTATTGGAGCACTTTCCGGCTTCCCCTTCATATTATTTCCTCCAGCAGTCCAGCTGTTTGCCAAGCTTGCTTAGCTCAACAAGCTTCCTCCAAAGTGTAATAGCACCTGGCTGAACAAGCAGCAAAAGTATAAGTTGATACACCAATATGACTCAAATGGGTAATTGTGAAACTGTCGTTAGACCTGCCCCCGTGATTTCCATCCAACAATGAAACAATAAATTCCAAATGAACAGAAAACATCCGGATTATATATACAAGTCAAGATGCATCCTAGCTATTTTAATGTTGCACATAACAGCTCCTGCTCTTCTTCTCTTTAACCATGAATCCAAAAAGAACACCTTAAGATAACATTTTAAATGGTCATTGGAACTTAAATGAAGAACAAGCCATGGTATCTTTTCATCATGCTAATCAGCCAGCATTCTGAAATGCAAGTGCATGCAAGTCAAATGTTTGAATAAGTGTAGGTTGGAATTTCTGTGTGTTTAAATGTCCCAAAAACATTGTGCCTCTCAAATAGCTTCTTTTTCCTCAGGGGTGTTGGATTAATGACGTACAACTGTATCTGCACTTTTAATCCAGTGAGCCATGGTTCCATTTAAATATCTTAATTCATTTAATCTGATGGTAATCCCTGCAGGCATTATAGGGGATTGTGTCACAGTAGAATTCAGTATTTAGGGGCAAGTTTAAACAGTCACTTCATCATAGCTCCACCTCATTCATTTCCGTGCACTTCTCCTCTTCCAGCATGACTTCTTTTTCATCTGCTGAGAAGTGTGTGTTTGCTTTCCTTAATTGATTTAGAACTTAGGCTCGTAGAAGGCCGTAGCCACTTACCAGCTTTCAGAGCGATGTTGACCAATAAAGTATTAATGACTTCCATTTGGGACACACACAACATTAAATCACATAGTAATGAGAGGTCTTGAGTCTTTGGACCACAGATCACATTCCACTTTCTTTGCAGTGGCTGCCAGTTTTGATAAGACCCACCTCACACAAGCCTGAGTTAATTCACACACCAAGAACAAGCTACAGTGTATCCTCAGTCCACCTACTTTGTTCTCTGATTACTGTGGCCTGTGCTACGAATCAAAGGACCTTTGCTAACAAGACAGAAAATCTGTTAACAGAACTGTGTGTTGGAATGATGTGATCTTGGGGGCAGCTCATGAAATTCAGCATTGGTAATGCTTCACTAGGTTTGAAGACAGGTTGATGATTACCTGGGACCTTGTGCAAATGGAAATCAGTTTCAGCCTTGATATTGGTAACTCACACAGAAATGTTGCTCATTCTCTGCTCTCCACTACAGAGATAGATGAAATGTTGCCCAAGATGTCGAAGGTTTTCACAGCGGACACCCTGCAGCGGGTACCTTGTCACCCCCCACACGGCAGACCTGAGCCCAAGGTGTGGTGGGAGAGAGGAGGCCAGCGGGTTCCCACCGAGGGTAGAGTGTACCAGAATGGCCTGTATCTGGTCTTCAGTCCCACAGAGGAGGGAGATTCAGGCATCTACACCTGCGTGGCCCAAAACAAGGCTGGACGCAGGACACAGGAGGTCACCTTCACTGTGGCCAGTGAGTCTAAATAGTCTATTTTAAAGAGGAAACTTTTTAAACATTAAGTTTGGTTTACTTGTCATAGAAGGTACTACTGTTGTGAAAACTGTTGTAATGTTTCATGAAGTGTCCTTTTTAACAGAAAGCCTGCATTACAAACTAGTATTTATGGTGGCTTTGTTTAGACTGGCCAATAGGTCAAACTCATTAACACCGTGCGTGTCCCACTGAGGCCATGTCATCTGGTTTAAGAGCAGTATACGATATAATTTTACCATATATGTGAGTATGTCTGTACTGGTAAAATGCATTTCCTGTGTGTTCATCTCCACAGCTGCCCCTGTGTGGGTGGCACGGCCTGTGGACAGTCACTTTGAGGAGGGTAAACCAGGTTACCTTCACTGCTATGCTCAGGCCAACCCTGAACCTGAGGTCACTTGGCTCCGCAATAACATCCTGATCACACCCAAGGTGAGTTATCTCATATTACACACACACAAAGTTCTGATTTCTTGCATGCTGATAAAAACTGTAATAGTAGCCTTGTTTTTTGTGAGTTTCAATTAAAAAAAACTTTTTTTTCTAGGACTCTCGCTATAAGCTGTTCTCTAACGGCACCCTCAGGATCAACAATGTGGAGGTGCATGATGGACACATGTATGGCTGTGAAACTAAGACTGAAGGCGGCCGACTGTCTGCGCAAGCTAGAGTTACTGTGCTTGGTAAGCTGTGGAGGATCACTCAGTTATACAGCAGATTATACACTTTAAGTGATTTCCCTGACTGACTGAAAGGTAATGTGTAACAACAAATCATATTCAGGGTATAGGGAGTAATAAAGCACTGTGAGGAAAAAATAAAACGTGGTAGTTTTTCCTAAAGTAGCAATAGTGTGTCCATGTTTTGTCTGTAGGTACAGTACCCTGCAGAAACCCCACAGAGGTGTAAAATATGACTCGCGCACAGCAGCTTTATTCCAGCCTCGCCTTGAACACATGGTCTCCATGATAAATTCCTACCTGCTGCTATAGGATTAATTTGATAGATAGCCTGACATGTCACTGTTTTGTCTGGCCATTCTCTGTTTATATGATTCCAGCCTCTGATAGACATCACTTTTTATCATCAGATCAGTGTGCACACGTGTCTGTAGCTACATTTCCCCAAATGTGTCGGAGCATGATTTTTATCAGCTTAGTGGCAATTCATCTGCAGTGTGAGGCACACAAAAGAGCCAGAAAATCTGGGTGTCCCCCCCCCCCCCCCAACAGAGTTTCCCACGTGTACATTGTGTGCTGTTTCAAGAAGTTGAAGTTCACCCCGACACCCCAGCCTTCTCAGTGCCTTGAGCTGGATAACGAGATCACCATCCAGTGCTCTGCTAAAGGCAGAGAGAGCCCCACCATCCGCTGGACCATAGCAGGTGTGCATACCACCAGTTTAACTTTAGCACTCAGTAGCTTAAATCAGATAAAGGACAATTCCCTAAAGAAACATTGCAACAGAAATACAGCTGCACCCGTCATTCCTTTAATGCTAATGACGACCACTGTGATATATCATAGATCATTTCCCCCTTCATCTGTTTTAGCCATGATGGAGTTGATTTTCATTCATTCATTCATCTTCTACCGCTTAATCCCTGAACGGGGTCACGGGGGGGCGGAGCCAATCCTGGCCGGCAATCGGGCGAAGGCAGGGTACACCCTGGACAGGCCGCCAATCCATCGCAGGGCTAACACATAGACGAACAACCACACACGCACACACACACACACACACACTCCTATGGGCAATTTAGAGACACCAGTCAACCTAAGCTGCATGTCTTTGGACTGCGGGAGGAAGCCGGAGTACCCGGAGAGAACCCACGCAAGCACGGGGAGAACATGCAAACCCCACACAGAAAGGTCCCGGGTGGGGCCCGAACCCGAAGCCGCCTTGCTGTGAGGCGATGGTGCTAACCACTGCGCCACCATGGAGTTGATTTAACCACTTGATTTCCACATGCACCGCCGGACCCAGCCAGTGTAACGCCTCTTGTCCCTGTGTGTCTTTCTGTCTCCCCCTACAGACGGACGAGAGCTGCCACCTCATGTGGAGCAGAAAAACGGGCAGCTCCACTTCACCAAAGTCACCCGCAGTGATGCTGGCAACTACACCTGCATTGCCTCCAACAGCCTCCAGGGAGAAATCAGAGCCCTGGTGACCCTTATTGTGGCTGGTAATGCAATCACTCATCATCATGGAAGCAGGGAAATATGAAACAAAGGGTCATGCTACCATGTTAGCCACCAGGCCTGGTTCTGAAGTACTTGTGGTCTCTGTACATCTGAGGGTAGTTTTATGAGGATACAGTCATTGGTTGTTCTCATCAGGTGGCAAACACAGCAACATTTATTGTGTACTTGGTGGCGTTTTATAACCCAGTAATGAAGTGCATTTGGGCTGTAGTGTATAACTAAGATGATGTTAACAGCCGTCACCACAATCTGTAAAAGATTTTATGGCCTAAGTGTTGTGTTAATTAGCCTCTTTGTGTGTCCGTATGTGTATGTATTTTTGTGCGCATACAGTGTACATTCGCTTTAAAGTGGAGCCAGAGAATACAACAGTGTACCAGGGTCATACAGCCATCCTGCACTGTCAGGCCACCGGCGACCCTGAGCCTCATATCCACTGGATGGCCAAAGACAAGACGCTGGACATCAGTAAGAACCCGAGGTAAAAAAAAAACAAAACAAAAAAACAAAGACGCTTGGGTGCAGCTCAGCCATCAAGGATCAGGATCACAGTTTAGCTTGTATTAATATAGCATTACACACTGGAACACAATGGGTGCTATGCAAGAACATCTTGTACAAAACAGATCGGTTCTTAAGTGGCACATTACAGTGATTCCCAAGAACTGTCGTTCACATTCATTAAACCACTTATACTTACTGTCAATTGTGATGAACTTCATGACTGGTCCAGACCTGTCAAACCTGTCAACAGCTGCCTCACAGTCTTCATGCCCTTGGCAGTGTAACATCACCTTTATGTACACTGTCGCTGGTGGTCGGGTTCTTAGTGTCACTTGACCAGTTGAAGTGGGTCTTGTCTGCTAACCAGTGGCAGTATTGAGCAAATTGCCTCTTGGCGCACCAGAACAAGGAAGAGAAGGCACCTTACTGGAAAACTACCCACATAAAGTTGAGATTTGTTCTTTATTGAAAGTGTTTTCAAGCACTAATTTCTACTTATACAAGAGGTTGGCTTCGCATATGTATGTCTGTTTTGAGGTATTGTGTAAAACATGCCGAGCAGACTCTTTAGCTTGGTGGAAACAGGTCACATGTAAGTTAGCAGTATATACTGTTATATGTAAGTGCACCTATTAATAGAGAAAGACATAGAAACTGTAGAGCAAATATGCACATTTCAATATTTATTGCAGGAATAACAATGTTATCACACTTAGCAGATTGTCCTCGTATTGTGCAGGCCTCTGAGCCTGTCACGCTCCTCCTCCCATGTCTGTTCTATTGCTGTTGTTCAGTCTCTAACTTCAGACTGTTCCCTCTTTAGTTCAGTCACTGTGCAGTGCTGCTCTGTTGACAGTTTTTCTGTTAATATTGTCTCATTACTCTGAGCTCTCCAACACCACCACTGACACTGCTGAATTCGACTTGGAACAGTGGGATCTCAGTGGGACTTTGTCCTCTCCTTTACGTATGGCTGTTTGGCTGTTTGTAGTGAAGATGCTAATGATCAAAACAACCAGGTGGCTGAAATAAGTGATTTATGACAAGCTAATGCATCAACATGTGTGTTTTAGAATTGTTAATCTCCACTGTCCACCTTGCTTGCTGGGTGTTCGGGCCATCCAGTCCTCCAGCTTCATCTCCCTGTGCCTTCTTCCAGGTTCCAGATAATGCCCAATGGCTCCCTGGTGATTACAGATGTCACTACAGAAGACACAGGAAGATACACATGTGTGGCCGGAAACAGCTGCAGCATCAAAGACCGTGTGGCTCAGCTGTATGTCGTGGGTGAGTTTAGTACACGCACGTCCAAACGTTACACAGGCTTCCTTTATCAGCAACAAAGGTGCACACATGGGGCGTAAGCCACAGTCACAAGTGTAAACATGAATTAAACTGTCACCCTCTGCCTGTCATTCAGCTCAACAGGTTAATAACCACGGCCGCATCTCTGACGCCACAGCTGTCACAGAGGTGATGGGATTGGGCAGACATTAGATCTAATAATGCTTCACACTCTGTCGCTCCTTGTGTTGCTAACTGAAGCTCAAAATTACAGTCAACACTTTACTCCCAAAGTAGCAGGAGGGTATTATGGATAGGTTTAAATGAGGAGACAGTTTAAATGACAGAACCAGAGAGGTAACTGTGACTTCATGAGTGTAGCAGCCATGTTTTTCAACAATATTATGGGCTTAACTGTGTTAACGTTACATGCAGTTATCTTTAATCTATAAAACAGATATTGGCTTGCCTTGTACTTTTGTAGGGCACAATATTTGCAAGACAGCTTTCTCCCAGTTGTTGTGTGAATTAAACTAAACTAAATTCAAAATCAAAGCTGTAGTGATCTTTTACACTGTAAAGCTTGATTTATGGTCCTGCATTAAATCTATGGCATAACCACGCTGTAGCCTGATGTACACCTCCCCAGAAATGTAAATGTCGCGGCGACGCAGACAGCAACGACTGATTGAATGCATCGCATTTCCTCGTTCACGTCTCTCAGTGGCCGGACAAGCATGGAAAATCCCCCTTGTTCTGCCTCATTTGGTTCAGTGATCATACAGACCATCTCTCTGACATATTCTCTCTTATCTGTGTTGCAGTAATTTCAGTAAAAGTAACTGCTCTTCAATGTGTGTTTTAACTCCAACATGACCCACCCGGTTTCAGTCACCACTGTTAGGAAGTGTTGAAAAAACACAACGCAGCGGTATAGACACACCACCTCCACTTTTTCTTATATATAATTTTATATATAGAATTGCAGGGTGACACAGCAGCACACAAGTATAAATTCTCACAACAGTGTAGGCCACCTATGTAGCCTACAGTGTGAGTTCTACTTACATTAAATGCAGAACCATAAATCAAGTTTAAACTGCATCTGATTCAGTCATTTGCATGTTTGCATTGCCTTTTCACTCTTTTAGTTAACCATCATGCTGCCTCTGTCCAACAGAAAAACCAGTGCCTTCCTATGAAGAAGATGAAGACAAGGCTCCTTATAAGATGATCCAAACCATCGGTCTGTCAGTGGGAGCGGCAGTGGCCTACATCATTGTTGTCCTGGGGCTCATGTTCTACTGCAAAAAGAGACGCAACGCCAAAAGACTGCAGAAGGGCCAGGACGGGGAGGAGCCAGAAATGGAGTGTCTTAATGGTATGAGACCGTTAAATGAATTTGTGTTTGGGCAGTTGTACAATCATTATGCGAGTGGTTGATAGTACCTGAGTTTAGTAATGGTACTCAAAGTATTGTTGAGCCGTTTGCTGCCATCTTGTGGTTATTATGGGGATTGCATTTTATCATGCATTTCATGAGACATTGTGTCCCAGTTCCACAGGTAACCTCCAACTCTGAACAGGATTAAGTATATTCATAAATAAATTCAGAAAACTCAGCTAGAAAAAATTCTAACAGTCCAACAGTTCTTGGAACATCTAATAACAGGAGAATCTGTTGTACTCTGTTTGATACCTGTCACACCGCCCTCTAATACCCTTTGAGACTTGCACTATGTGTATGACCTTTGACCATGTGGCATGTGTTGTGTTTATCAGGAGGAGCTGTTCAACAAAACGGCCACACCACCACTGAGATCCAGGAAGAGGTGGCACTCACTAACATGGGTAGCATGGCAACAAGCGAGAAGCACCACAGCCATGTCAACAACGATAAGATCCACTTTCCTCGAGCAAACCTACAAACCATCACCACTTTAGGTAGACTATTTCCTACCAGTCTCTTCTGAATGCATTAACTGTATTATAGAATGAATGTTCTTGTGCTCTGACTTTATAGAAAGTGACCCGATCTTAAAGCTACAGTACTTAGCATGTTCAGATTATGACAATGTGTGGTATTGAGTTTTGAGCATCTGCTCTGACGTTTGCTTTTGTGGTGTGTGAATATTTACTCAGGTAAAGGGGAGTTTGGTGAGGTGCTGCTGTCCAAAGCTAAGGGTATCGAGGAGAACCAGGAGGAGACGGTGGTGCTGGTGAAGACCCTGCAGACCAGAGATGAGCAGCTCCAGCTTGACTTCCGCCGGGAAGCTGAAATGTTTGCTAAGCTCAGCCACCCCAACGTTGCGTGCCTTTTAGGCCTCTGTAGGGAGGTGGAGCCGCACTACATGATCCTAGAGTACTGTGACCTGGTAATCACACTGAAGCAGAAGCACATACACAAAAAAAGACTGAAGAAATATGTATATGTCCATATATATGTATATATACATGTTACCTGATATAATGCCATCCATTTTACGTTGTATCTTTTCCAGGGAGACTTAAAGCAGTTCCTGAGAATTTCCATAAACAAAGATGACAAGGGCAAATCTCAGCCAATCAGCACCAAGACCAAAGTAAGTGTTGAATGTGCCACGATACTCACAGCATCCTGCACACTATCTTGCAAATAATAAAAGGCAGTAATGTATGCCAGCTTAAGCATCTAAAAAATGTAAATGTTTTTGTGCAAATTCTGCTCTTTTCATTACTTGAGATAACGTCCCCTTAAAGCAAAATTTAGATTTTTGGAGAATACACTTATTTCCTTTCTTGCCAAAAGTTAATTGAGAAGATCAGTACCACTCATGTCTGTATGCAAAATATGAAGCCAGGAGCTAGCCTGGCTCTGTCCAAAGGTCCTAAATCCATCTACCCGTCCCTCCAAACCTCATTAATTAACACATCTGATCTTCTTTGTGGAGTCTGCACCAAATGAGAAGTTGTTTTTACTACAGTTAAGTTAAACTTTTTTTTCCCAAAATGCTGGACTATTCCTTTAACTTTTCCATCCAAAAAGAACTTATTTTCTGCTGCCATTGTAAATGTATCCTCAGAGTCATTTATCTTGACAGCACTTTGTTCTGTATTTTTCTCTTTCCCATCAGGTTTCCATCTGCGCCCAGGTGGCTCATGGGATGGAGTATCTGTCCAATCACCGCTTCGTTCACAAAGACCTAGCCGCCAGAAACTGTTTGATCAACAGTCAGAGGCGTGTGAAAGTGTCATCACTCGGCCTCAGCAAGGACGTCTACAACAGGTCTGTCAGAAAAGACATTGCATTTAATAATCATACATTTAAATGATCAGTCAACCAATGGAATCAGGAAAGCAAACAAACAGATTGAGACATCTTGGTGCTTTTCATTGGGCTAATATTAATTGTTTCCATCTCCATGTCATTGTGTGTGTGTGTGTGTGTGTGTGTAGTGTATACTACCACTACAGACAGGCATGGATCCCACTGCGCTGGCTCCCAGCAGAGTCTGTGTTTGAGGATGACTTCTCCACCAAGTCTGATGTGTGGGCCTTTGGAGTGTTGATGTGGGAAGTGTTCAGTCATGGGGAAATGCCATATATCAAGCTCAGTGATGATGAGGTGCTGGAAGGTCAGTATGCAGTTTATTTTTAGTCCAGGTTCAAAAACAAGAGAAGAGCAGTCACTGTTTGTCATTAAATGTGTTGTAAGCATCAGGTAAATGTAAATTAGAGAGGTGGCATGTAATCAGTTCTCTGGGGAAGACAATAAAAATGTTTTGATCTCAGAAGATGGAATTTCTCACTCAGTTTCTGATGAGATTTAACCTCCTCCTCTGTGCTGTTCCTCCGCCCCTCTAGCTCTGCAGACAGGGAAGCTGAAGCTGCCTGTTCCAGACGGATGTCCCTCCAAAATCTACAAGCTCATGGTCCGCTGCTGGGCACTAGGCCTCAAAGAGCGCCCCTCCTTCACCGATATTGTCCACACCCTCGGAGAGCTGCCCTCTGACAGCAAAGTCTGAGACAATCATAACCTCACATCAGTAGGGAACGTTTGCCACCCCTGTTCCTCCAAAATAAAGACAGGAATGTTGGATTATTAGTCTCTCACATTTCAGGGAAGACAGTTAAGGAGAAAACACTTTTTTAAATATGCATTTCAAAAAAAGGGTGTGTGGATAAAACCTCTTTGCTACATCAGTGGAAACGCAATTACAGTTGTGTGAATGGCTTCTCTTGACCAGGAGTTTATGCTTGCCTTAACAACAGCATGGGTGACCCTCCCTTCCAGCCCCTGTCGGCAGTGCCTGCCTGTCTGCAGCAACTCTATCCCAGAGACGCTTTGTTTCATGGAGCCTCGCAACTTCTGTGCCTCTACCCCTCCACACTTACACTCACTTACAACTCCGGCTTTGTGGTGATGTTGGATGCAGTGTTTTCACTGGCTCTGAAGTTACAGAGGGAAATTTTGTTTTACTGCTCTGTTAAATCCTCAGTGTTTTCTCATAAATGTAGAAACAATGTTAAAGGGAAAGTTACTTCAGTGGAGCATTGATGCTTCTTAAATATTCTATCAACCACTGAGGAGTGTGTCAAGTGAGATCATTTCATCTTAAAATCCATTCAGCCACACCCTGAGTCTGCCACCCTAATCCTGGAGGAGAGACTTATCTACTCTGTTCACACGAAATACACCACCATTCTTCACTCTGTGTATGTGTGTGTGCTGCAGAAACGTTTTGTGTATGGTTCAAAAAAGAAATGGAATGTGGTTTGCATGAAGGTTCGTCTGTTACACTTGTGATTTTCAGCATGAGAAAACTTGTGGAAAAAGGTAATCCCTGTCATGATAACTCTTCTGGAACAACAACAAGAAAAAAGATCATGCTTATAGCCAGGGAATATGTTGAATAGATGAAACTGTGCCAGTGTGGGCTTTGTACGTTTTTATGAGTGTGTTCTGTTCTTGTATTAACTTGGAGGTGCTTAATGTTTATGGTCTGTGGGTATTCTTACCCATTATACCATATTAACATCATGATGTTGTCTGAGTTGCAGGGACGCAGCCTGTCACTGTGCCCTTTCACCTGTAACATAATGTCTTTAGAGGTCCAAACACAGTTTCCTTCCTGGTCCAGTTGTTTCACACTCCAACGTGGACCATCACACCATGCAATGTGTACATAATGTAGAAGCCATGCACTAACTTCACTTAAAAGAATATCCCTCTTTATCTCTATCATGTTGTGTAGAAGGACATGCAGGTGCCTGCTTATTTATGATGAAGGTCCTGTCTTTTTTTTTTTTAAACTATGTTTATAATAGAAAGGTACTTCTGATGTATTCATTCTCATGGTCCATCTCAGTGTGTATTCAGTCTGGTAACCAGCTGACGTACAAAGGCGATCAAGAGTGACTGCTGGTCACCAGTTCTCATTTAAGTGCCTGGTAAATGAAGGATTATTCTTGTTTCTCTCTTTTTTTACATTATCTAATCAAATGCAATGGCCTTTGTTTATGAACTTGTTTTTATACATTGTTTTTAGTGTATTTGGTTTTTATGAATGCTTGACAGTCACACCTAGACCTTTTTGTTTAGTTTAGTTTTTTTTTTTAATCTGCTTCAGCAAAATATTCACAGTAATCTGATTTATACGAAACTATACGTGCTGCTGTCAATAAAGGTTCACAGTGTTTGTACCCAGTGTGTTGAGTAATATTGTAAATGGCAGTGCAGCTTCAAGAACCACATTGATGGCAGTCCCAAAAATATCAGTTTAATGTTTAATAAGTTTAATACAGGAAAATTCCAAATGAGGTATTCAGCAGCTTAAGCATATTGCACCCATGTTGTGTATTCAAAGTAAAATGATGTAAAAGGATAATGGGAGTTTAACTTCCTTTATTTTAGAAAATATTGCCACTTGTAAGCCAGCTGAAGAGTTTACATGGTGGCTTCTGCTTGCAGCTGCATAACCACACAATATAATGTTTGGTAAAAATAACAGAGGTGATGAAATGTTCACACTAGTGGGTCACCTACCTAAAGCAAGTTTCTGCAAGTTGATTTTTATGCTTGGAGTAAATAAGTTTCCTGTGAATACAAAATCAATCTTAGAACCTGTACTATGCCTTTGAACAGGATTGCAAGGAGTAATTAATCATATATGCAGTGTTTAGTTAATGGGCTGTAATATGTAAAAACACTTTTAAGGTCCTGTACAGTCCCACTCATTTAGTTAATCAAAACAAGTTCTCTTACTTACCACTAGAGGGTGGTGTTTATCTCCTGTAGGTCTTTTTAAACACGACCCTAAAAGCTTGCCAAATATTCTTCTGTGTTTATATAATTGTTTAGAGTTGAATAAGGTCACATAACCTTATATAGCTGCAAAGGAAGTTGACGATATGAGACAATGTCATCTTAGATTAATGACATTTTTCTTCTTTAATTTGATAAATGTCTTTTTTTTTAAATTGTGACTTTTTTGGTGTCCACAGGGAACTTCAGTTCATCATAGGTGCTGAAGCAGCAGTCAACTAGAATTTGACAGACAACTTTTATATTGTAGCCTATGTTGGAGCTGGAGGGTCTGCTGCCAATTTGCAGCCATGGATAAAGAGGCTCAACTTAAAACCTGCACACAGAACCACAGGAAACCAGCTGCTGTAAGCATATCCTCAAAACCTACACACTTAATGAAGCAACTACAGCTTTTCAGGTGTTTGCTGTGTTGGATGTATTTTGTCATTTAGTCAAATATTTTAATGATAAACTGAGTTGAGGTCTTAATGGGACTTCATTTTATACTAGGAATATCATGACTTTTTTTTTAAATTGCATTGACGCTTCACTGAGCTCTTCCAAGGGAAAAAACCCCACACACATTTCAATAAAAAATATGCTGTAGCGTCATTGCCGACAAATCTTGGATGAGATACCATTATACATGACATTTGTTTTAACATGCCTGGAAAACCAGGTGGGTGGGGTTTACATCATTATGTATGGTCAGATAAGTTGCTAGACACAAGTACACCAAAGTATATTTTTACATACTTTTCCTGTAATAGGCCTTTTTTCACATATTCAAGCAGGAAAGGTACAGATTTAAGTAATAAAATAAATAATGGCTGGACTTCTTTTAGCTGCTTCATTTAATTTTAGAGTTCTGGTTCACATTGGCTCACTGTCATTACATACTGGGACACTTGAACTATGTTTGATGTTATTAGTAGCACCTGTGCTTTTCCTGCTATGATCAGTATAGAGTACTATCTGCTGTGTAAAAGGCCTCCTGTAAATCTGAGTATATTCTACTATGTATGACCGTAATATACAGCACTGTGCAAAACTGCACTCAAACACTATTTTTTTTTCCTTCAGCCAACAGTGAAACGATGCATTTTAGAATACAGAGTTTGGGAAGACATGGTTTGTGGTATGACATAGTGCAGCCCGTGGGCAATAAAAACTTGAATGTTTTGTTATTTTGGTGCCTCTGCTTGTTCAAGGTGACGTTGTCGGTAGCGCAACCATTTTGGTATTTATTCTAATAAGTGTGCTTTATTGACCAATGGCAGTGCTACTCAGATAATCCTCCGCCAATCAACAGGCGACGCTATGACTCACCAAATAAGGAGAGACAGCACCAAATAAGGAAACATTGTATCTCTTTATAAGGAGGGAAGTAGTTCCTCGGTTGTAATATTACTCCGATGTAGCAAACGCTGTTTTAAAAAGAGATGTTTATATGCGTTTCTGATCCATAAAGAGATAAACGGTGTGGTATTGATGAGGTGCGATGAGCATATAAATATCGACGGGCCTACAGCGGCGTTATTTTCGGTTTACAATGCGGACTACGCGACATGGCGGAGCAACATCGAGGGCGCTCTGCGCGTTTTCCTTTTTGAGAAAGTGTTCAGAGTTTTGGAAATAGAGGAGGAGGGTGAGCTAAACTGAGCCGGGTTTGAAGGGTCTTGAAAGCAGCATCACTTTCCGAAGTTTGTCTCGGTAATTTCCTGGCGTTTCCAAACAGTCATTTAGCCTGCTTTGTTTACATTTTGTAGCCCGGTCGTGTATGCGTTTTATCAGTAACTTACGACACAGCGCGCTCCAGCTTTTTGGCTGGTATTTAGTGACTCTGTCAACTTAATAGGATGTTGCCAAGCCAGGCTGGATCGGCACCATCTGGAAACGGGTCAGCTATAGCCAGGGGTACCACAGGACACAGTTCGGGGGTTGCCGGCAGCGGGATCCGTCCCGTTTTGGTCAGAGCAGGGCAAGCTTTACCGGGGGTCAGCGAGAGCGCTGGTGCTGCCGGGCGGCAGGGGGACAGAGACGCCGTCGGGATGCTTGGGGCTAATGGTCCAGGGGGTCCGCGGGGTGCGAGACCGGGGAACGGGACGGGAGTGACCCCTTTGCATACCGCTGTCCAGGGCAGCATGGTGGGGTTAAACACGGGAGTGGTATTGGCTCATGGAGCCCGGTTCGACCCGGACAGAGAGACTGCTCCTCTGTGCAGCGGCTCGGATAATGACTCGGACTCCGGAGATGATGATGACCCAGTGGGTTCACTCGGGGACAGCAGGAGAGGGGTGAAACGGGAGAGAGGGGAGATGGAAGCTGCGGTGACTGGGCAGGAGGTGGGACTACCTCCCGGAGGTTACGGCATGGTGCCCGGAGGGGTCGCCGGGGCAAAGCCGGGAAAGAAGACACGTGGGCGCGTAAAGATAAAGATGGAGTTTATTGACAACAAGTTGAGACGGTACACCACTTTTAGCAAGAGGAAGACGGGCATAATGAAAAAGGTGGGTCAGGTGGTTACCTTTGGCTCTCTTCCAGCTTTTGGATGGGAGTGTCACATAGATGTTGCTGGGCCTAGATACTGCAGTATAACATGTTGCATTCGTTTAATTAACAGTGAGGTTGATTGCACTTTAATCACTTGTAGGCTACAGACGTGACACCTGCGGTAAAATGTTTGTGGTAATTATAATTATAGACACTGTATTTTATCTGGAGGCTACTGACCTGCAGCAGCTTAATCTGATTTCACTTTCTTTCCTAGACAAAAACAATTGTGGCACAAACTGACCCACCGGATGTCAGGAACTCAAAGCATTTGACAGGCGATGGGCTTTAAATAGACTTGAGCAAATGACGGTTCTATTTATGACCCCCTACCCCCACACCCCTAAAAAAAAAAACACGCACACACAAATTTCTAGAAAACAAAAGACCCATTCCTTCATGGACCCTTGCAAACTTATGTGAGTGACTTGCACGTTCATACACTGACCTACAGGCTGAGAAGTGTTGGAAGTGGTTCCCATCATTAGCCCTCAGTGCACAGGCTGCTCCCTCTGTCACTGTAAAGTGGGACTTTGGTTGCAGGCAGCAGCCATGTGGTGGTGAGCAGCAGCAGGCTGGAGGTGCCAGCAGCTGACTAAACTACAGATCAGACCACACACTCAAACAGAAGACAGAGTCTGGTCAGTGTCTGTGCATACGTTATGGCGGTGTACAGTACATTGTGATACAGGCGTCCAGTGATGACTTGTATTGGTTTCAGGTATTATTATTACGATGTGTGGCACATCATTGACATTAAAGACAGAACTTGCTCCATAGTAGTCTTAATTGCTTCCATTACTGTCTACTAAGGTTAGTACCAATGCAATATGTCACTGCAATGCACAACTCAGCTACACAATTGCTGCCATGATAAAGTATTGCTATGTGGCATTTGCCATCATAACATCTAAAGTAGATTTTTTTTTTTTTTGAGACGAGGTCAGCTGCTGAGCACAGGCACAGCAGTAGTTTTGCTGTGGACATAGTCATTTTTCATTACGACTTTAACTTGTAAGCCTTGTTTTACTGTAGGTCAAGAGTTTTCATTTGTCTTGTTAGTTCCAAGCGCTCGTACAGTGGACAATGTTGTTTCTTTCTTTTTGTAAATGTATCTAGACTGTTGTCGTGGAAACTGAGGTGTCTTTTATGTAGGCTCTTGGCAACATGAACACTATTTGACACACTGGGGCATGAGAGATTTTTTGAAAATGTTGCCTACACATCAGCCATCACAGAAATTGACAGGTGGGTGGAGTGGGAAGATTCATAGTAGAATGGTCTCAAATTGGTTTCTAGGATGAGTCTTTCATTTTAAAGGATGTGGTTACTGAAGCGGCTATGTTCTCCCCACATATGTATCTTAGATGACATTAACACTTGCACAATACAGCATTACCTCTGTAGCACAGGATTACTCAATTAATACTGCTGGTTCCTTTTTTAGTTCTGTTATTTGTACAGAAAAAGGAATGGTCCCATTCTTATGGCAGACGTGTTGATTTGTCATAGCAGTGAAAGCACAGGGGTAACTAATATAAATCCATTCACCTTAGGTGTCCCACTAAGTCATGTAAGTGTGCCAACATGCATGATTACAGTGCTCTGGCTCACCTAGATGAAATGCTGCCATTATTAAACTGTACTGCCATGACATATAGTACTAAAGGACTGTCTTAATTAATACAGGTTAACTCACTGAAAATGAATTAGCCACAATTTTTGGTAGTTGATTGGTCTTCAGACCAATTCACTGGCTCTAGTTTTTCTAATGTGTATTATTCTAAAATTAGTATGTTGAACAGTCAAAACCAGTGATCTGAGGAAGCTACCTTGGGCTCCAGGAACGTTCAATGAACATTTTATTTACTTAGCCAAAAAAAAAAAAAAACATGATTATTGGCTTCTAGGACTGCAACTAATTATTAGTTGAGACTAAGGTGACTTTTCTAATAACTTGTGTTGGAGAAATCCCAAAGATATGCAGTTAATATTGATATAAAACAGCGAAGCACCAAATCTTCACATTTGAGAAGCTGTAACAAGCAACTGTTTGGTATTGTTGACTTATAATTGTCTTGGAAAAATTATAAGATCATCAAAATTGTTGTTCTGTTGATCAACTGATCGATTTTGAGGCTAATTGTTTCAACATTACTTACAATTTTTGACTCTGCACCTCTTCATCAACACTGATGACCTTGCTTCAGGTCAGTCCAATAGATTTAAACTTGCAACTGTGTACACACAAGGCTAACATTGGGACTGATACTCTAGCTGAGAGCAGACAACAACCAGGCAAAACCTGAAAAATAGACAAAGCTTTTTTTGTTATTTTTGTGCTGTAGAATTACAGACAAGTGACAAATTAGAGGAAAAACCGGAGTAAATGAGTGATTTCTTCCAGGATGACAGTTCCCCAGTCCATAGGATGCAAGGAGTCACTGAATGCTTTGAATATAATAATGATGTTAATCATGTGCTGTGACCTTCACAGTCACCAGATCTCAGCCCAGCTGAACACCTCTGGGAGAGTTTGGACTGATGTCTCCACCACCATTATCAAAACACCACCTGAAGGAATATCTTTTGAAAGAACAGCTTTCATCCGCCAGTAGAGTCCAGACACTTGGAAAGTCAATGCCAAGGAGCACTGAAGCTGATCTGGGGGGCATGTGGTGGCTCAGCACCTTATGGAGACACTTTATGTTGGCTTTTCCTTTCATTTGTCACCTGTCTGTACATATGTAGATGTTCTTGTCTGTGTTTTTCATGCCTTCTTTATTTGATATATAGACTTTTTGCATGGCAAAGGAACCAATTACAGTCAGAGTTGACCCCCCACACACCCTGCGCTCATTAATATTTATGAGAAAATCAGCAGAGCGAGGAGACTTATTAAAGCATTGTGTAGGTCTAGTTGGTGATGCCACCTAGCACACTTTAGTTGACAAATTAGTCCTTTTCTGTCTTGGATGTTGGCCAAACATCAGACTTTGTAGCTCCTGCATGGCTAATCAAGGGCAATGGTTGTGGAAGAGGATGACTGTAGCTGTGTAGTTTATTACCTGCTCTTGTAAGGCTGCATTAGCAGTGGGTGTGGTGAAGTGTACAACAAGCCACAGGGTCCAGAAGTTCTCCACTGAAATAAAGTGTAGCTCGAGCTGCTATAGTAATGGTGTGTCACACTGTTTCTGTGCTCTCTCCTCATGTTGTTGCACAAAAGACAATTATATGGTGTGCTTCAGCTATCATGTACCCAGATAGAGAGGACTGGGCTGATAAGGTTCATAATGAGCAGAGCAGGATGGAATGAATGCTTGGCTTTATAACAGCTCAATAAAATCTTTTAATTTGAATGTGATTCCTCTCCTCCTCCTCCTTACATTGTTATGCTCCAACTTAGTGGCTCATCTATCAACTAGCTCAGGCTGCACTGTGTTCACCAAGGTGATGGTAATGGCACTGTGCCTTCACAGCACCAGAAGCATCCTCCACATAACTGATGACTCATTTAGATAAAAAGGCTTTCTCAGGAGTGCAGCTCCTTGTGCATTTGGTCGTCGGTGTTGGACTGACTTGAATGTCATTGTGCTTTTCCTTCATGTTGGCGAGTTTCAGTGTGAGTGTCTGCATGCTGTATATTGAAGGAGAGGACAGGCAGTGTGTGATGATGGCCTTGCGTTTCATAGCCAGTTACTTCAGCGTGTTGAGGATGATTCCTCTTGTCCTCTGTCAGGACTGGGTTACTACTACTGCCCCTGCCTATGCAAGCAGTCCCCTGCTGCAATCAGTCTCTCAGCTGTATCACGCTCTCTCTCTATTCTGGGAGCCTTGTCTCGATTGTTATTTTAGCTTCATTTGTGCTATACGTCAGAGTTCACTAGGGGTATTTTTAGATGCTAGTGTCTTCTTAGCTCAAGTATTTTTTTCCCAGCAGTTTATCTTAGGAATCCCTTATGTTCCCTCTAATATTGAGACTTTGTGTATGATATATGAAGGTAATCCAAGCCCCAACTTGAACCTTTCTCATGTTTGAATTCTATTTTGACTTCTTTCTGTCAAATACTTACATTTTCTTGTTTCTTTTTCCTAGGCCTATGAACTCTCCACCCTGACAGGAACCCAGGTTCTGTTGCTTGTGGCCAGCGAAACAGGTCACGTCTACACATTTGCCACTCGCAAACTCCAGCCCATGATCACCAGTGAAACGGGCAAAGCTCTGATTCAGACATGTCTCAACTCACCGGACTCGCCGCCACGCTCTGACCCCTCCATGGACCAGCGCATGAGTGCCACAGGCTTTGAGGAAACGGACCTCACCTACCAGGTGTCTGAGTCAGAGAGCATAGGTGACACAAAGGTGAGAATCAAGAAGTAGAAAGCTTAGCTGACTGTCCAAGCAGTCAGAACAAAAAGCGAGAAACCATTCCATCTCTTTTGGGAAGATAAAAGTAGAGGTACTCGAGTTAAAGTCTTTGTGACTCACTGACTGTCTGCTCTCTAATGGAAACATGAATTGCAGTGTGAACAAAAATAAATAAATCACCATAGAGAGTCACTAATGGATATAGTGGGAAATTTCTCCAGAAAGGGTAGACGAGCACATGAAGCAAGCAAATAAATCAAACCCACAAGCAGCTGCAGAAAATAATCTTTGTCCTGTTGTAAACAGATTTGTGAACTTTTGCCTCAGGCCTCTGATTTCGGCTTGTGGTTTGGTTCTGACCAAGTAATTTTTTAATTAAGCAAAAAAGTCCTTGTGCTTTTTCAAAGAGCTGTAGACTGAAGGGAGAGCCAGATGTGGAGTATTACCCTGCTCTGCTAAAGGGAGCTGTATACACGTTACCTTTCTGAGCTCTCATCCAGAAAAACCTTGTAACACTCAGAGATAAATCGCAGCAAGTCTGGCTTGTGTTAGGATGAGAAACATACAGCCTGCTATATTGAGGACGTTGCTGTTTATCTGTCTTATGGTCATGATCGTTCTGTGTTGTTGTGTACCTTATGTTCATCCCTAAAGCTGCAGTTTGCCTCCCTGTATTTTTTTTTTACCACATTGCTGCAAGTGAGAGTTGAAGCGAAACAATAAATCCATTAGAAGACACCCTTCACTGTCCTCACCTTTGTGCAGTCACATGCAGAGATTCCCTCCACTGTTTACACAGCTTAAGTATACTCCCTTGAAGACGGATACTGCCAGGCGTGTTTGCCTGCGTGCTGCTTTTACAGGGCACTAACTACGGTAACATGTACCATCCACCGTTGAGGATGGGGGCTAAGCCAGTCTCATGCCCGCTCTGCTCATTGATAAAAATTGGATTCTGCCTCTGTTGCCATATATGGTATGGTTTCCCTGCCTGCTCTCTTGGCCGAGGCCCCTCACATTCCTTATAAGCTGCAGCTGTCTTTGGAGTCCTGTGATCCCCCCCACTCATTTAGTGATATGGAGGGGAGGTATGGATGTAGATATGAACGGGTGGAATGGAAACATTTGTGCGATACTTAATGTCCCATGTCATGTATATTTAGGAGGCTGGCAGTGACACTGTGACCTCTGCTCTGCTGCGGTTGTGAGTGTGGGATACCAGTGTGGGGTCCTTGTGAACACTGTTCACACGAGGAACCACTAGATAATGCAACCTGGTGATCTACATCAGGATCAGCACTGTTATGGCTGGGACATGTCAGGTGGTTTATGGAGACCTGGATTTTGAGGGATCATTTCTGTGCAGTAAATCTATTCCATGGTTGCTGTATGGACCTTTGCAGCGTCTGGACACTATTCATCAAGAGACTAGTATGTCATACATACATTCTGCACTAGTCTAAACAGTTAAGAGTTTGCAGTGGCTGTTGGGGTAATTGGAGGATATTTTAGAGAAGCAAAAGACTGAGGCTTAGCAGATAAGTGAAGTTGACATGATTTGGAGCTTTATGCGTTGCTCATAAAATCATCTGACAGTAGAAATTCTGTAGCGTATAATGCTTTTGCAGGATTTAAAAAAATCTGAACAAGTGGAGGAATATTAAAACACCTGCCACAGCATTGGTAGTTGTTTAATCATTAACTTTTTCTCTTGAAGGAATAGTTCAGCATTTTTGGGAAATACATTCTCCACGTTGCCTGGGTTTATACCACTCTTGTCTGTCCGTTCAATATCTGTTAGCTTGGCTTAGCATAAAGACTGCAAACAGTCGAACCAGTTTGAACCAGTGCAGACTCCAGGAAGGAAGTTGTAGGACTGTTTTGCGGCTGGGAGAGGTAACTTCTCACAGACTCCGCTGGATGCCTGACATCACGCTGATGATAAAGACTCCATGGAGTCACTGTGCCCAGCCTATAAATATTCCATCACATAAATACCCCCCCACCCCCCACCCCGTAACACCACAACATGTTGTTTTTACACTTCAGGTTTAATACAGGGTATTCAAATCATGTTAATGAGCTGTAGAGGTGCTATAGGTGGGGCCCTGTTACCTTTGGACAGAGCTGTTTCCAGTCTTTTTGCCTAGCTATCCAGCTGCTGTCTGTAGACCCAGACAGTGGAATCAATCTTCTCATTTAAGTCGAGGCAAAAAAGCAAATAAGTGCATTTCTTAAAAGGTTAGTTTTTCATAGTATCTAATACTGTGAATCACTAGTACAGTGGAGTTTATGTTTAAGTAATTAATATTAAAATCAGGTTTTGGTCTAGAGTGGCTGAAGAGATTTTTTTTTTCCAAATAAGTGATTAACAGTTCCCTTCATAAGGGAGCACTCCCTACACCATAATGGACAAATGCATCACTAGCTGGGCTGTCATTCATCCATGCTTCTGAATTTCAGTGTAGGAAAACATGCCAGCTGCTGCTGAAATGATATCAAATGAGTTTCTGAATAAAAATTAAGGTAAAAAATGGGCCATGTAGTTTAAGAGTCACGCTTCGCACCGCCCCACAACTACTGGCTTTGTGTGAGTGAGTGTTTGTTAAGGAGTAAGACTTTGAAAAGGCAGTGAGTCATATTGTCATGTAATCATCTGCTGATGGCTCTCATGCATATCTAGCCTGGCTGAATCGATTCTTGAGTTACCAGACCTCAATCTGGCACTAAAAACTAAGATCATAATGAAGAGTGCCTTTAACTGAGCAGAAAGCAGTGTTAAGATGATAAGACATTAAATTTAAGGTGTGTGACTCACTTTATGTCTGGGGAGTCCATGCTTTTCTATTGCTCTCTCAGCAAACACGTAAAACAAATAATTGGAAGGTAACGAGTTTAAGGCTGTTCTCCAGGGTTGTATGAAGGCATTTTGGGAAAGATAATGTCTGATTTAGAGGTGAAAGGTAAAAGATGGTAGACTTGTCCTTACTGATCTTATGCAGCGCCCCTGAAACGAGCTCTGGGTTGTTCATGTCTGATTTTTAATACCAGACGTGTCTACAGTGCAGATGTTTTAATGCTTTTTGGGTTATTTTTGGAAGGGAATGGCAAATCCCACAAGTCGGGTTTGCTCAGAGGACCCGTCTTAGCGCTGAGTTCTCAGTATCACGGTCTCCTCTGGTTTTCCCCTCCTCCCTCCCCTCACTTTCCCTCCTTGTCGCTCTGTCTTTCCCTGCTGCTCTGGCTGTCACTGCTGTTGATGTTGTAAACCTGGTGAAGTTTATTTGTTGCTCTGCTCATCACTACAGATCATATTTCTTTTGCCGCTGTAATGCTGCAAGTAACGCTGACCAAAAAAAAAAAAAAGTAACTAGACTAGACTGTGGCCACTGTCCTGCCCAGCAGCTGACATGTTTGTTTTTCTTGTGTTTCTCAGCTCTATAGACATCAGGCAGCAGATTTGACAGCCTCATTATTCATATAGCAAGTCTATAAATGTGCATGAATTGGGTTTTTGTCTCCAAAGAGAAATTCAACCAATTTGATGATCAATTCAGAGTCTGGGGGACTGTACTTTTAAAACTTTTTTTTAACAGTTATCTTTAGTTTTCCTGTTTTAACCAAGGTTGCAAGGGCAGAACAGTGACTTGAAGCAGGTGACGAGACAGAATCACTGATGTAATGGGAGGTTAATTTACTCAGATATTCACTCTCAGCATAAGACTGCTCCCAAACAGACTGAATGAAAAGCAAGGCAGCGGCAGTGCCATAGGGAATCTCACAGTGTCTGCAGCAAGAGCAGTGTGTTGGCTGTGTTTAAGGGGAAGGAAAGCAATGTTATGTCACCCCCCACCCCCTCTTCCACCCCCTTATTTTACACCAAGCAACTGGACAGGTCAACCGCCATTGGCTGCACCTCCTCTACTTGGGCTGCCTTGCCTTTTTTAGCAGTCCCAAATGGAGCTGCAAATTCCATGTTGCTGGCAGGGTGACAGACTGGGAGATGAGAGCCAGCAAATGGGAGATTAGACAAGGGCCAGCCACCAGTAAACTGCACAATGGGCTCTCAAGCCAACACTGGACTAGCCTATCAGTTGTCACCTTCAGTTTGGAGTGATTAATCCCTCATTTACAGGGAATCTTTGGTCTCCCTCTCTTTTAATTAGTCTTGTTTCCTCTTCCTTTAAAATGGTAAAATGGTATGATGTTGGCTTGTGTACAAGGAGAGGCTTTTATTCTTTTACCATATATAGAAGCCTTAGGAATATTGGAAACTAGCATATTAATAAAACTTGTGCCACATTTGTTTTAATAAATACTGTATGTATAAGGATTTCTCATATGGTCCCAGTGGCTATAGAAGGGACTTGATCTATTTGTTGCCGAATTAAAATAATGTCCCTCTCTAATAAAATGGATTACATAGCATGTAATGGCTTGGCTGTGCAATCTAGTCTGGAGGAGTTATTGCTTATTCCATGGAACCCAGCCCTCTGTTCACATGACAGTAAATTGTGACTTCATTAGCTACATGCCTCATTTTACTAAGTGGAGTGTTTCCCCAGGTCAGCCCCTGGATAGAATTTATTTATTGATGTTTCCCAATACGTGGAAAGCATTAGTGAGGTCGGCATGAAGACACAAAGGGAATGTGAAAAATTTCAAGTCAACTTTTGTGAGTTTAGAAACTTGAATCTCTTCATTTCATCTCAGGCCGATACAAATATTTATGGTCATAATTCAGAGTAGGCCTTTGTCCAGAATATGTTCTGCACACTGACAGAACAACAAAAGGGGTTTTTCCCATTATAGGAAGCTGTCGAAACGTGTTGAGTCAAGTAACCCTCAACATGGGTTCTGTGTTTGTTTACAGTATAGCCTGCCCGCTTTGGAGGTGCGTTCTGGGAACTAAATTTCAGCACCCCTCAGTAGGTAGTACTAAAATCAGGTACCAAGATCGTGAGGGGGTGTGTACGTGCAGAGTGGTCACCGGTGATTAGTTAAATGTCCTTAAGCATTAGCATTACAAGCACCATGTGTAAACACACCTCTGGCTGCATGTGAGAGGGGAGCAGCACCTCCCTCCCTCTAAGCAGAGACTGACAGAGAGAAAAAGAAAACAAACAAAGAAAAACAAAGCAGAACGGTCCGCATCATCCTCGGAGGCTATGCTTGGTGATGGTTAAGGGAAGTACGGGGTATACCACTCGTTGGGTTCCAGTAGTGGAAACGCAGCATAAGAGGCTCTTCAGATGCCAAAAAACAAAACTTATTAAATGTTTTACAAGTGATGAAGTGGAAAAATTGTGAAAGCTTTGGTCAAAAGACCATTGTCGGCACAGCTTACAGACCCAGTCATTTTCCTTCATATATGGGAAATGTTTTTGGTGATACGCACCTGACGCATCTTCTGGAAGGCCTGGAATTAGGAGTGAAAACAATATGTGATCAGAACTTAGTATATCCAACTTATCAAACTTTCAACATGTAGAATGTATTATTAGAAATATATAACAGTAATATAGCCCCCGGAGGTATCTTTAAATTGCTCTTTTTGTCCAACCAAGAGTCCACAACAATCCCCTCAAAATAAGGGGATAATAAGAAAAATAAAAGCTGGAAATTCTCATAATTATGAAACTAAGTAAAATGTAGAATATTTGCTTATAAAGTGAGTTTAATTATCAGAGTATATGGCTTAAAAATAACTGATTTCTCAGCTCATTGTTTCAGGTTTAATATTGTGAATCATAAAGGTACTATTCAGATGTCCAGCATCTTCCTGAATGACAGTGAGAGTTGGGCCCCATTTTTATTGATGGACACAGTCTGATGTGTGTTAGAGGGTGCAGGAGATGGACAGGAGGAAATGACTACATCACAGCGGTGATTCTCTGCTCTCACTTCTGGTCTGAAGGAATGCATTACACCAGTGTAGCATATGTTTACTATGCACTGCCTTGACGCTGAACTAAAAGCTAGCACTGTTTATAGACACGAGACACATGGAGATGGTCAAACAAAGCAGTAGGTCAGTTTGACTCTTGGATTACCACGGAGGTTAGATAAAATAAGATAGCAGAAAGGTTAGACTGAAGCCAAACACTGTCCTCAATGCAGGATACATTTGCTGACAGCGAAACATTTATTTCCCCAGGGAGCAGTGGAATATGGAAAAGCTGGGACACAGTGACCTTGTCCCTTTAGTGAGCCATGGTGTCTTTTTAATAAACACAATGGTACTAGGTGAAGCATCTCTCTCCATTTACAGGAAAAGAGTTGTTTAGTGGTGACAACTGTTGAGTGTTCAGATGGCGATGTCTTTTTTACGTGGCCTGCTGCTGCCTCAGCTGGCGTGGGAAAGGTTAATTTCACCTCAGAGGTGCTCAGGTTTCCCGCCAGCTGTCAGTGCCCTCAGCTGTTTGTACCCTCGCCCCTGTCCTGTCCCTTGTCGCACTGTCCCAAACCTCACACAGACACGCTCTCTGCTACTTTTGCACTGGCTAAAATGCTGCCACACCACCGGGCTGATGCAAACGCTGTTACCTCTGTCGTGTACAACTGTTGTCTGCTATCTGCTTCTACCATTACTATCAAAAATATTTTTTTACCTGCTGTTGATGTAAAATAATATTTGTAACCCCTGTGCCACAGTACAGTGAGTAATCTCCATTTGTCTTGTTATTGAACTTCAATGAAACAACTCTCATTTTAATCTAAACCGGAGACTTTGGTGAGAATGAAAATGTGGCGACAGCTGCGTCACAGTCTGTCTGCAGTCGCTCTCTGATGAATGGCAGCGCTGATAGTGGCATAGTAAATGAATAATATGCAGATTGTTGTGCGAATTTATTCCGTTTTACTTTTTGGTTGAAAGGGCAGAACAGCTGTGAGTGCTCTGTGTCGCCCACTCCCTCCAACTTTCCAGCTGCTGTTTAACTAAAGAGGTAAAGGACCTTGGGCTGTCAGAGCCCCTCAGCTAGTTCGGAGCTGCACAAGCTAACTTATTGTGCAGCTCTGTGTAGTTGTGGTTTTGTATACTGTTGTTGCATCAGGACAGCTTGTATAAGGCAACACCTGCTTAGACATCTGTATGTCATCAAGTCCAGAAGGCTCCAAGTTAACTGCAACACCCTCATTTTTAACTCATCAAATAAAAAAAGAATTTTAATTATTCCAGTGAGCCATGCTAGAGGACTAGCTTAAAGATTAAGATATGAGCAGGGTGCTATATGGCAGTCAGCCCTTACAATATCTCCATTTATGTGTTTGCATGGTAGTGTGTGGCTGGAAGGCCTTATCAGTGGAGTCTGTCCATACGGGATCGTCCACCTCTCACCTATGTAATCGGTCACATATAAAAACAAATAGTGCTTTTCTAAGAGAGGCCGGCTTAGCCTGCTTACTCATTGCCTTTGTATTAATGAATGTGACTTGTTCGGAAATCAAACACACCTTGCTCACTGGCTTGCTTATAGGAGGCCTTTCTGTTGTGACGTGTTTCCAGACACTAAACCTGGACCGTTCACTCACCTGCAATGTGATGAGCACTTTGCATCTGAGGCCCAGTTGCTTTTTCTCAGTTTGAGGCTGAATCCTCCAAAGGATGCAGCCGCCAAAGCAATGTCCTTCAGAGGAGCCGGTGTGTCCAGGCTGCACCACAGCTAGAAACGAGTGCTTTTGAACTTGTAACATCAGATATCAATTGAGTAAAGCTTATCAACAAGAAGTTGCCCTCTAACAGCTCCCAAAGTGTAAATACTATTGGGAAACAGGGGTAAATTCCAGAGTGTGTAGCGTAGTTAATGGTAAATAGAGTAGTTTTCTGTATCGCCCAGTGATTAAAGGGATACGCTGGTGATTAAATTCTGTACTTCTGTGAAGCTGGGGAATCGTCAAGCCAGCAGACAAGGCAAGGAACCCTGACTTTTAGTCCTTAGTATGGGTCAAGCCCCAGTAAGACAGGGTCCTACATTTCCTGTGCATGCATACAAACAAAAGCATCATTTTATTAGACCCTCCCTGTGCTCATCTTTCAGATTCCACACCTCCAGTTTGTAACACAAACTGTTAAAAATGTAAAGCCTTAGTTCTTATCATATTCTATTAAATGCCAAGTCTCATAAGTAGTTCCGTAAAATATGTTGTCTTAATCTCAAAGCCCACACAGATATATACTTAAAAAATATATATATATATAGTAGACTGGTTGCGTCATCCAAATTCAGACAAAAGAAAACTGCATATCTTGGCCACATCTGGAAAAGCCTTGGAAATGGGACAGGATGTGACTTTACAGATGTAGGGAATTGGCAGTTGCAGCCACAGAAACAATAGTGTTGTGTTGAACTTAAATGCAGCTACCTTTGTTACTTCAAGGCCTCCCCCACTTTGTCTCATTTCATGTTTTAAATTTTTTGTTGTGTTTTAGCAAGCATGTACTTGATTCATATGACACCTGGGAACATTCTGCCTCTTATCCATCACAGCCCTCTGTTTTCAATCATCTGGATTCAAATCCTGAGAAAACATTGAACCCACGTAGATATTCAATCTCTTCCATTGCTCTTAACGTGCAGGTTTGTTGCCATTCTGCTGTTACATATTATTAGTGTCATGTGATAAGTGTCTGTACAAGTGCGTAGAAACAGACATGGTGGTTTTAGATGTGCTTTATAGTTCTCAGCCTAACGCCTACCCTGCTCCTATCATACAGCCCACTCACCAAACATCCTGCTCTGCTGCTCAGTGGAGGTTCACATGAGCGTGCGTTGTGATGCTATGTCTTTCCCCCCCCCCCCTTTTCCCTCTCTTCTTTTTTTTTGTCACACCATCTCATCCTGCTGCTTTCTACCCCTTTTACTGAGGCGGTGTGTTACATGGTCACATAGTTGTCATAGTAACTCAACATAATACAAGGACAGAAATGATGTTTTTGTTCCACCTCGGTAGAGTCTGATCGAGCAGTGGCTGGACTGTAATAGAAGGATAAGCAGGTATAAATAATGAATAGGTGATGTTTCATAAAGGACTCACATCTGTCTTTCTCTCCCAGGCATCATGTATTATGGAGTAGCATTTCAATAGAATTTGAAATGTTTCCCACTTAGTGTTACGTCACCATCTTACACTGATTCCTACATTGTGTTGAAAACTGAGATTTTTTTTTCTCCAACTTAAATGCAACAAATTGCTCTTCTTGTAGTCGAAAATGGAACACATCATTGAAACTAATGCGACACTGCTTTAGTATTGTACATATGGATGCAGTTAGAGGGATCCTGGTCTGTTTCTTTAGCTTGTTTATGTCATTTGTCCCAAGACTATTAAATTGCACTCTGGTTTCTGTCAGCCATTCACTGATCCCTGCAAATACTGCAGGTTTTAAAGCCCCATTAACGGTGTTGTTTTAGGTGTTCTGGTGTGAAACTCTTCTGTTGTTGCTTTTGCAGATTCAGGATTCGGTGGGGGATTTTTATTTCCAGCAGAGTAGAGCAAGTGTGAGTGCATCAACATGGAATAGTAGCTATTCCCAGGTAGTCAAAAATAGCATCTTGAAGGGGCACTCCAACTTTACACATCAAGTTAAAATTACTCATCACTATAACCCTGATGTCATCAGAGTTGCCTTGGATTTGGGTTGAGACTTTGAGTTTTTGTCAGAAAGCCTGTTTCAGTCTGGAGATGGGGGGGTTGAACAGTGAAGGCAATTATCAAGCCTAACACAAAACACTACCGAGTTGCATTATGAGAGTAATAGTTTTTGGAGTTTGGCCCATGAGCTCATGAATTTGTAATACTAAACCACTGGCATATAAATCAACTCCTTCTTCCTTGTTAGAATCCAGCGCTCACTGAAGATCATCACATGATCTGCTCACAGTGTTTGCTTTCTCCCATAGGAAACGCTCAAGCCGACGTTCACGGTAGCCAGTCTGCCAGGCACTCCCAGCAGTGCCCAGTCCACAGTACCCACCACCTCCACCACCATGCAGGTGAGCAGTGGACCTTCATTTCCCATCACCAACTACCTGGCACCCATCTCAGCGAGCAGCAACATCAGCGCCAACGGTACTGTCCTCAAGACGGCCGGCAGCTCCACAGGGGTCATGCAGCTGCCCAGTGGCTTCACTTTCATGCCTGGTATGTAGGGATGCAAAACATGGGGGGTCTTATCCTCTCTTACAAATCCTAATTCTTTTCTTTATGGTTTGTTTGTCTTAACCTCACCCTTTAGAATTAACATGACACTTCTGCAGACCTTCATGTTTTGTTAATGGCGGCGTGTTGTCTAGCTTGTTAGCTGATTAGAATTTGAATGGCATCGCCCCGTGACCTCAGCCATCCTTTCAGGGTGGTCATGCCTCTCACTCTGAGCTGCTCACATCACACAACGGCCCTTCATAACCAGTCACCAACGCTCGGCTCCCTCAGGGTTTACAAAGCCCTCCAGTATCGAGGGAAGCCACGTCTATTGGCAAGTGGACCTGCCTTTAATTGTCACTGGGGGACAGGAATAATTAAGTGAGAGGGACACAATAGACTTGGCATAAGGGCTGACAAACGTGGCCCATAATTAGTCATGAATATTCAATGAAGGATCAGTGGCTTGTGCTGAAACTATAATTGAGGTATACTGTGTGGAGCCGGCGCTTTGTGACAGAGTGGTCCTGAACTAGACATGACCCTTCATTATGGAGGCCTTCACAGACACACACTGAACCACATGGGATCTCTGCTGCACCAACTCAGTGAGGACTTTGGGTCTGCAGACAGCAGGCCCTGATCTGTTTCTAAATTGTAATGAATAACTGCACTTCCTTTTCATAGCAGATGTGCTGGAAAGTACTGAGGAGCAGCCTGGGGATTCCAGGAGGTCATGATCTCCCCAAAGACCTGAGGAGTATTTGAATTTCATGATGAATTAATGAAATGGTCATCTGTTAAAAAAAAAGTTCAGTGGAACAGCTATTTAGACTGTAAAGGCACGTTGGCACAGTCTTTTCTGCAGGTGGTTGTTATTATTACCTTGTATACAAGAGTCTGAATTGCAGTGTGAAGATGAACGGGTTCGGTGCTTGTGAGTGTTATCTTTTCTCAGTACTGGCGGTAATGTCACCAGTTAGTTGTAGCGGCGTGTTGGTTATTTGCACTCGGCCACCACTGAACGGACAGCCACGATGCCCACTAATGGGTCAAGGCAGGCAGCGTCACTGCCCCTTTCTCCCTTTTAATTCTGCAACCTTCTTTCACCTCCTCCGTCTTCCCTCACTCTGTTGCACTCTTTCTTGCTAGCTTGCTCCCTCTCTCCTCTTCACCACCTGTCTGGCACATAGCAGCAGTGCCAGGTGGAACAACACATCCTCCCACACTAAACCCTCCTCAGCTGACATCTTGAAAGGGCCTGCCCACCCTGCTGCAGCAACTGTCTGTATGACCAAATGTGAGGGTGTAACTCTCGAGTCATGTTCTGCCATTTGTTAAGAAAAAACAAATGAACGCTGCAACATCATGCACAGTTTGAAAAGAACGGTGGGGTTCATTTGGGCAGCACAAATCACAGTCTGCCACTGATTTCAGGCTGTTCCACTCATCGACTGGAGGTGTCGCTACAGTGTCAACAAACATTGCGATGCACCAACAAAACCATGTCCACGTGAACATGTTGTAAACAATGCACCATTTAAAATATTTTAAAAATGGACTTTGAATATTTTATGATGAACAAAAAATGCACCCAACATGTTTGTGAAACTCCAGTGATACACACAATGTGTTTTGGTGAAATGGTGAATGTAAACAACTTCTGTTTGTTTACAAGAAAACACCACAGGGCACAGTTGATATCAGTTAGTCTCATTAAAATCACTCAGACAGCTGCATGCTTTGTTGTGCAGCACTCTGGTTTTCGGGCTTATATCACATCACATTTTTGATTAGAACATCAATAAATGTATAAAATAATGTGGTGTGAACATGGCACCTCTTGCTAAGCAGGATACATTTGCTGTCTTGGGCGGTGGAAGGCTGTTGCCAAGTGATTTCTCAAACAGCAAGTTGTTTGTAGAAATGTACTCTGGCTGGAGTGACTAGCACTTTTTCGCTTTGTCATTCTGTGCTATCCTTTCACACTTGGTGAAAGCTGGTGTGTGTGTATGTGTGTGCCCCTCCAGCAGGCACTCCTCTCCCCCCTGGCACCCCCACCATTCCTCTGAGCCAGCTGCAGCAGCACTCCCTGGCCCTCCAGGGGCAGCACGGTCAGGCTCTGGCCGCCGCCTCACAGCCACAGCAGGCACAGCAGGCTGTCTTCCGCTTCCCTGCTGCTGTCTCCCTCACAGGTGACCTGCTCTGCATGCTGCCACCAATGTGCTGTCTTTTACTAATTATAATTGTATCACTTAGTGTGAGAATTACTAATGCTGCTTGCATGACCACACCTTCTGCCAGCAGTAAGGCCAATACTACTAGTGCTACTGTACGCCGGCCCCACTGCTACACTACACACACCCCTGCCGCAACTACCGCTCTTGCCTGTGTTGGGTGTATGATGACTTACTGCAGCTGCTGTATGCACTCTGTGTCTGTAGGAGCGGGGGTTCCCCAGCAGCTCCAGGCAATCCAGGTCCACCCCAACACCCAGTCCTCCTCCAACGACAGCAGCCCCGAGATCTCCCACACCTCGACAAACTCCACAGGTAGGCCGCCTCTCTTGTCTGGTCTCCTTTAGTTTGGATTTAGGTTTCCTAAACACCATCCTGGGTGAGGATTTATAGATGTTCTTAGACAACCATGTAATCTAATGATGGCATACAGTAGCATGTTTCACCTGTATATAAACCCATCATCAGACATCGAGCTTCATCTAAAAATGAAACTCTGTGGCATCTCGATGAGTGTACATGGGCTCCTCTTGTCTGTTGCTGTTCTACTTTGTGCCTGTCATTGGTAGATTATTTTTTTATTCTGCTCTTGTTGGGACAAAGTTGTGTTCCCAAGGAAAGGGTTATTGAGCTACTACACACTGGAAAAAGTAGTAGTTGAATTAGATTGATATTAAGCGCCATCTGCTGGCCAATATGTGCACACATCTCTTGTGATGTTTTCCCTTCCTTCTTCTCCCAGCAACTATCGTCACCTCGTCCGTGCCAACATCTGTGGCGGGTCACATGATGTACCCAAGTCCCCACACAGTGATGTACACCTCCACGCCGGCGCTGGCTGACGGGGGGCTGGCTGTGCTCAACGCCTTCTCCCAGGGCACCTCAGCCATGCAGGTGTCTCACGCTCAGGCCCAAGACACAGGTGAGACATCGATCAACACACAAAGACAGAAATCATGTGTAACAACAACAACAGTATTTCCCAATAATGATGAGAACCCTGGAAGTCCCCTGCTGACGGCAAACCATGTGTTCTTCTCAGGTGCTGTCCCTCAGGTGTTCCTCACAGCACCTCCAGGCACGGTGCAGATCCCCATCCCAGCAGTGCAGCTACACCCAGTACGGCAAGATCTGCATTTTACAAGTGAAACTCTCATATTCCCTATGCAACCAGCATGTCATGTGACCTCACTAATGCATCCTAACAGAGCACTCAGAGGCCACAGGGCTGGAACCTGTTACCTCAGTTGGCATCTTGTTTTACCTGTGATTTGCAGCAAAATACACATGCACAAAACACAACTGTTACACAGCATGGAAATTAATAGTTTGTTTTTATTCACCTTATAAAAAAATCCAGTCTTATAAGGGAAATGTTTTTATGCAAGTTAGTTTAAAATAAGTTGGTATCTTGGTTATATGCTTCTGGAAAAATCTTGCAGAACTGTAGGCTTTGTTTAGTGTATGCTTTTATAAACACACCTGTCCTGTTAGTCTACATTGCACACTACAGTGTGTGATCTCACTTCCTGATAAACTGTGTGCAGTGTAGCAGGGTGTGATGTGAGGACTTGTGACTGGCTGTTCGGCCCTGTGCTCCCTGCTGACATCGCTGTGATTGTGTTCTAGATGGTGATTGGGCAGCAGTCGAGTGGCAGCAGCAGTAACTTGACGGAGCTCCAGGTGGTCAACCTGGACGCAGCGCACACCTCAAAGAGTGACTGACAGCTGGAGCTGTATATAACATGGTAGACCCAAGGACAGAGACTGACTGATATCACTATTTATTGATGCCTTCCTAGAGTTTCATAACACACTTCTGAATGTGACTTTAAAGTACATATACACACAAACAAGGGCATATGTGTGGCTGACCCTTATACAGTATGTTTTAGTATATGATTATAAATGCATAGGAAGTATCACTACATTCTTCATCAGAACCTATTTTCTATGCTGTTAGATGGTGTTATTTTTTTGTGTGCACGTGCTTTTTGAAGATGTGTAATTAAATGTACACACGCACTGCAAGGTGCCACAGCTTCACACCAGCCAAAGAGACATTTGTTTGTCTGAATGTTCCAGTGTGAGCAGTTTGTGCACAAGCCTGTGTCGGTGCACAATTTGGGGTTTGTAAATGGGCTTTATTGACTTAAAAATTGAAAATGTACATAGTTTTTTTTTTAAAAAATTGGTAACTTGTATTTTTAGCCTGGTTTAGTTTGTGCAACAGCATGTAGTTTTTTATGTAGTGATTTTGTATGTACATGAAAACGATTTGCATAAACAATTTACATGTATATGTAAATTAATTTAATATCCCATCATGTGTTGATATACTGTCATGCCGTTGGGAGTTCTCACTACAAGATGGAGAAAGAACGCTGGATGTTTTTCTACATTTTTTGATTGTGCTATTTGAAGGACTCCTGTCAGACAGCATCAAGTAGCTGGGTCGGGAACTTTAAGATTTTTATGATTTACTTTAAACGTATTCTTTGCTTTAGCTGGGAAGATTTAACACAGCTAATGGTGTGATCATTTTGCATGTGAGGCTTCCTCATTCAGCTCTGATCAGGCACTGAGTGTTGAAATGGTTAAAACTATGTTCTCTGTGTTCACCCACAGAATTCGAACCTTTCTGAAACTTAACTGTCACACAGTTAACCTAAAGATTATATTTAAAGTGACACAGACCAGATTTGATCACTTATTTTGAAATGTGTGACTTGTTTCTCTGGGTACAAACCAGAGTGATTAACAGGCTTTCATGATATCGGATACGTTGTCTGATTTGTTTCGGTAGCGATCCGTTGTAAACCTGTCACTCTGATCGGCCTTTGCACTGCAGAATGTTAATTATGTGATGCTGTTAACAGACCTGAGTCACATCTCATGTATAATAAGACACTGTATGGACTTGGCAATTCCACTATAAGACTGCATTCAAAAGCATTCGTGTTTCCTTGTATAGAAGCGCCTGGCGTTATTCAGTGAAGTCTGAATGCTGTAGTGTTATAACAATTACTATGAATATTTTTGTAAGAATAAGGATGTTTTATGGCGGGAGCGTCTTCAGGTCCTGTAAAATGTTAATATACCTGAGCTGACTACACGTTCAGTATGCACCTCAGCAATCATTAAGAATGAGAAAGCATTATTAGTCAGCCTTCTTTCTGCACCATAGTGCCTCTTCTCCATGGCTGATGTCTAAATCATAGCAAGTTGAAGGGAAATGGGGGATTTACTTAGGACTCCAGACTAGCTCACCTGACTTCGGACCTGACATACAATCCTTTGCGGTGCCTGGGGAGTGAGATTTTTGACTCATTTCTAGAGAATTAGCTGGATGACTGAGCATGGCAGGTCTGAAGCCAAAGAGAATCTGACAAAGGATCAAGCACCCACACTCTTTGCTGTTTAGTTATTCACTGGTTAGAGAGGTCATTTTCACGCTCGCTGTTCTCCGGTCTGTTCCTGTACATGCTGTCATGTCATCCTGCAGGCTTGTCTGCAGAAGACTAGTACAAGTTAAAGACATAACTCACCCATATTATTTGGTGGTTATAGTGAGGGTTATTCAGAAGTATCATTTTTAAATGAGATTATTGAACAGTCTGTGGTTTTCACCTTGTCACTGAAAGAAATTGTGTATTTTTGTTGTACAGACATTTTATAATAAAAACAGTGAACTGCTCAAAGAATGACCACATCTCCCGCTGAAGAACTTTTTTAATAGGGCCATAGCAGGTTAAAACTATACTGTCCTGAATGAAACCTAACATCTCTATAACAGCAGTGATGAACAGAAGATGGCTGATGAGGAATAAATGAACCATAAATGCTCCTGAGTCCACAAGAGACTTGAAGCGATGGCTTCTGATTTCTCTAAGAAGCACTGGGAGGCAGGAGGAGCGAGCATGCACCTTACCTTAATGTTTCAATTATCCATTGCACAATCACAGAATCAAACTGGCCATGACTCAGAAGTAAGAGAGAAAGTCATTTCACAGCAGAGGGAGGAAAGCAGCGAACATGATACAGTGACTGGTTGAAGCCAACACAAGAAAAGAAATCATTTGGTATCAGATTTTCGACTACAGAGTCCTGTATATCTTCACAAACCAAACCAAGTCAATGGAACACAAGCGACAGAAGCATAATAAGATCACAACAAACAGCAGTGAAGCAGAAAACTCCCTAGACACTGATTCTAGGAGTCCTCAGAGATCCACAGTGAGAAGTAAGGCATCATGTCTCCCTGTCAGTGTCTTCTAACAACAAAGTGCTGACAGCTAAGAAATAGTCACAGATGGCTGCACTGCCTTTTTTTCCACTTCGACAATGAAAAATGATGTACAAGCATGCGTTTACACCAGGTAGCATATCTCTATTGCTATTGTAGACATGCAATATACAACTGTACAGGAAACGTTGGTGCTGATTAAAAAATGCATGATTGACAATTTAAAAAACATTTCCCATTAAAATAGAAATGTACAGCCTGAACTTTTGGTTTATGAAACAAAAAAGTCTTTTCGCTGTGTATATTTACAGTATGAACAAGGAAAACACAATGTGCAAATCTGATTCCATGCAAGCAGTTGCATAATGGGGCTTGGGTATTCAAGTGAGGGGTTCGAGGTGGGACTAGAAGACGAAGGGCAAAAACAAGAACAGAGACGATACCAAAACTAACTCAATATCAAACATGTCAACCAATCGACCCATTCACGCTTGGAACACAAGATAAGAACAGAAGTCATATCAAGGAGCATCTGAATGAATCACTGACCCGCGAGGTGACTGGAAGTTACCAACACCCTCCACAGATGTCCAGGCAATAGACAACCAGACACCCAGTTCCAACAACACACAGCACCATGAATACATTTACTCGTCATTAAAGATCAGGATGAAAAAGTAATACTGTTAGTAAACACAGAACCTCATAAGAAGTGATGAGAACATATGGAGAAACACGGAGCTCTCAGGATGCTGTAAGCCAGTGGTTTCCAAACTGGGGGTCTGGGCCCTGCCAAAGGCCTATGAGCTAATTAACAAGATCAGAAGATGATGTTTGTCTTTTCAGATTTTCTTGAAATCTTTACTTTTTCTTGTGAATTACTGGATCACTTCAAATAAAAATCTCAGAAGTTTAAAACTGTAACTATATACATCCAGGGAGACTTAGTTGGGGAACCACAGCTAAAAGATGCAGTATGTCTGGAGTTAGTGGACACTGTTCAATAAAGTCAGGAATTTTGCTCCTCTCCCATCAATAAAGCAAACCAATTACTGGAAACAGTGGGTGTGGAGAACAAAAACTCACACGGAATCACAAACAAGACGCCTCTTTCCACAAATGCCAACTTGACATTTCTCAAAAGCCAACCAACAAAAGCACGAATAAACCTGATTAATGTAACGAGTGCAAAGCAATGACATCTATGTGCAAATTCACATAACTTGCAAAATTTACCATTTAACAAAACATGATGGATGGTGACATCTTTGGGTGATGGTAATTACAGATGAGCTTTGTACTTTAAGTACGTAAAGACAAAATGAGGACAAAGTAAACAGCATCTGTTCAGTCATGACTATTATACATTTGTTTTATCTTTAGTTTAAAAGGCAACCTTAAAGCAAAGAAATAAATAAGAAGACTTGGCTTTTAAAAGACGAGTGACGTATTGTAACTACAGGTACATACAAGGACTCAAGGTAGTGGGCATTTTTTCTCTATAGCATCTTGTCTTCAAACAGACAACAGGTTTGGGGTTAAGATAAAAATGTTTCAAAAGGAAACAATTATCTAACTGAAAAGTGTGATTCCACACTAAGGCAGTGATGTTTACAAATGGGTGATAATGGGACAGAAGATAAATACACACACCTCCTTTTCTCCTTAACATAATAATTACAGGCCTGTCGTCTTTACCCTGGTGAGAAGCAAAGATGGAGGAGGGGCAGTGAGAGAACCTGAAGAGGCTGAGAAGAGACCAGTGAACATCTGCACCTCTGTTCTCGTCCTCTTGCTCCTCTGCTGGCAAGGCAGTGCCTGAGCTCTGACCTGCTCAAAGACAGTTTTCTGGTGGAGTCCAAGAGGCCATAAAAGGGAGAGCAGTGAAACCTGTCCATGTGGTCTTTAACAGTCTTGCAGGGATGAGCAGTTAGTGGTGATATTTTGCTGACCCTGTGCCACCGGAACAACCACACCCCAGTTTTATTCTGACCTGTCTGCCTGGCCAAGGTGGCTGGATGAACAGCCGGAGGGATCACGGTGAGGATGCCGCCGCTGCGTGGTATTTAACAAAAGCTATGGCTGCCAGCTCTTTGCAGAACTCCTCCAGCACGATCACCCCCTCCAGCAGTGTCATGTGGTCGATACTAAAAGAGGAGAAATAGATTAAAACCTGCATCCGCAAAAGCAAGCACAGAAGAGAAGCACACTGAACCATGTGGAGGTACACACTTGATGCCCTCTGGCTCTAAACCTAACAATCTCTTCCTCACGAGCCGCAGTCTGGGGGTGAAGTCTGGGATGCGGTGAATCCTCAACATGAGATCTCCCACCACCTAACACAGACAGGGACATAAAGCACTTAGAACAGCACTGCTTCAGTCCCTGCACAGCAGTGCAACACCAGGGAATCATTACTGCACTCAATGCAGGCATTACTGTAATCACCATAAACAAACAAGATCACAAACAAGAAAATTAGCTGCTTCCACCAGCCTCCTCCAAACAGCTGTTTACACTGTGTGTGCCACTGCGACAGATTTCAAAGAAAAGAACTCCTGATTCACAGAACAAAATAGTGTGGATCACTGGGAAGCAAGATTTGGAGCAACAACCATGATGATTTGGCTGTGTGCTGTCAGTGAAGGCTCAGACAACCAGAGGACTTACTCTGACGATGACGGAGAACAGAGACCTGCAGCCAGGGGCCAGGTTGATGTAAGGATCCAGCAGGTACTCGTGCAGGTGGGGGTGTGGTAACACGGACAGCTTAGACAGCACTGCGGTCACCTGCAGGTTGACTTCGTAGGGCTGGAGGACAGTAAGAAATGTGAGGAGAGTTCTACAGTCATGGCCAAAAATATTGGCGCCCCTGCGTTTCTGTCAGGTAACACACCACTTCTCCCAGAAAAGTGTTGCAATCACACATTTTTTGGTATTCTCATGTTTATTTCTTTTGTTTGCATTGAAACAACACAAAAAAGCTGAGGAAAAAAAGCCAAAGCTGATACATTCCACACTAAACTCTAAAAATGAACACCTTTTCAAAATCATCAGAAATAGTTCAATTTCAAGCATGTGACTCTCCTTTAATTTGTAATGAAACACCTGTAGCAGCCAACTGGTGCTGGCAATGCAGAAATCAGATGGTGTTATTTGTTTTTGTGTGCACTTTAATTTTGAGTCACTGAAAATCAAACTGATTTGGTTCTTTAAAAACAAACAGGATTTTTGTGAAAATCAATAAATGGAGAAATTGCAGTTCTTAATTGAGCTTAAATAAAATTCTGTGTTGATTTGCATGGAGCAACCTTAATTTATTTACTGGAATCTGGTACATGTCAAGCCAGGTTAGCCAGTTTAGGAGTAATCTCTCAAAACCTCGCATTGGAAACATGCCATTTAAAAGTTATCATCTATCTAGTAAAAGGCTGTTTCATTTGAACTCAAGCAGTCTGCCTGTTCCATTTGCTCCATTTATCTGATTAGCACCAGAGTTGCATTTGTGATTTCCAAAAGAGTGCTTTTATCAGGCTCATGCACTAGTGGAACAGTGCAACAGACATTTTTTACAGTAAAGCAGTCAGTTGTTCTGAATGATGCCAGTATTACCGCTGCTGTTTACTATATGGCGGAACAAACTGACCTGATCTAGGATGCGACCCATCCTGTCAAAGAGAACCTTGAGGAAGTGACCCTCGAAGAATGGGATGTCCAAATTACACTTCTCCAAAGGCTTTGGATTTCCCCTCCAGTCCCACTGCTGGCAGACCCCACAGTAATCCCTGAACTGGGAAGAATAACGAGGAAACAGAAGTGACAGTGTTTAAGAAACAGCCTCTGTTAAAAAAAGACACACTGCATTTTCATCTTGTGAAGATTTGTCCAGTGTATCAGAAGCCTTCCAACAGAGTGAGGCCTTACCTGTCTGTGTGCATCTCTGAGGTAGGTGTCGTAGCCTGTGCCTTCTACATGGTAAGACGACTTGGCCTCATCGGGCACCAAACACAGGAAGCTGCACACATAACAATTTAACAGTGAGAGCTTTAAAAAGAAGGCAGGCAGGGCAACATCTCTTCTGTTGTATCAGGAGTAGACTGTGCACCTGTTGACAATCTTGTGGACTTCTGTCTTCCCGTCAGACTTTGAGTGGTCAGGACTCCGCGGCGGGGAGGAGTCAAGCCAATCGGACCTATGCAGCCTGCTGTCCGGAGAAAGGTCGTCACCAAACAGTGGATCCTCTTCAAGGTCTCTGTGGAAAGAAAACATGCTCATCCCATCAGAACATGACCTGATTCTCATCGCTGCTACTGACCAGGTTGAAGGAGACCCACTGGCTGAAATACAGTGAGCTATTTTCTCTGTTCTTACATTGCTTTTATAATGACTAAATACTTTATGGTCCATTGCACTTGTGTGGCAGCTTTCAGGTCTGTTGTATAATTTAATAGATGGATGGATTTCATTCAAGAGGTTTTTACATGAAATCTTTCAGGAAAGAAGTGTTGAAGTGTTATTGTAGATATACTGATTCAAAACTCCTTATGCTTCAGTTTCCCGCCAACTGGTGCTGGCAATGCAGAAATCAGATGGTGTTATTTGTTTTTGTGTGCACTTTAATTTTGAGTCACTGAAAATCAAACTGATTTGGTTCTTTAAAAACAAACAGGATTTTTGTGAAAATCAATAAATGGAGAAATTGCAGTTCTTAATTGAGCTTAAATAAAATTCTGTGTTGATTTGCATGGAGCAACCTTAATTTATTTACTGGAATCTGGTACATGTCAAGCCAGGTTAGCCAGTTTAGGAGTAATCTCTCAAAACCTCGCATTGGAAACATGCCATTTAAAAGTTATCATCTATCTAGTAAAAGGCTGTTTCATTTGAACTCAAGCAGTCTGCCTGTTCCATTTGCTCCATTTATCTGATTAGCACCAGAGTTGCATTTGTGATTTCCAAAAGAGTGCTTTTATCAGGCTCATGCACTAGTGGAACAGTGCAACAGACATTTTTTACAGTAAAGCAGTCAGTTGTTCTGAATGATGCCAGTATTACCGCTGCTGTTTACTATATGGCGGAACAAACTGACCTGATCTAGGATGCGACCCATCCTGTCAAAGAGAACCTTGAGGAAGTGACCCTCGAAGAATGGGATGTCCAAATTACACTTCTCCAAAGGCTTTGGATTTCCCCTCCAGTCCCACTGCTGGCAGACCCCACAGTAATCCCTGAACTGGGAAGAATAACGAGGAAACAGAAGTGACAGTGTTTAAGAAACAGCCTCTGTTAAAAAAAGACACACTGCATTTTCATCTTGTGAAGATTTGTCCAGTGTATCAGAAGCCTTCCAACAGAGTGAGGCCTTACCTGTCTGTGTGCATCTCTGAGGTAGGTGTCGTAGCCTGTGCCTTCTACATGGTAAGACGACTTGGCCTCATCGGGCACCAAACACAGGAAGCTGCACACATAACAATTTAACAGTGAGAGCTTTAAAAAGAAGGCAGGCAGGGCAACATCTCTTCTGTTGTATCAGGAGTAGACTGTGCACCTGTTGACAATCTTGTGGACTTCTGTCTTCCCGTCAGACTTTGAGTGGTCAGGACTCCGCGGCGGGGAGGAGTCAAGCCAATCGGACCTATGCAGCCTGCTGTCCGGAGAAAGGTCGTCACCAAACAGTGGATCCTCTTCAAGGTCTCTGTGGAAAGAAAACATGCTCATCCCATCAGAACATGACCTGATTCTCATCGCTGCTACTGACCAGGTTGAAGGAGACCCACTGGCTGAAATACAGTGAGCTATTTTCTCTGTTCTTACATTGCTTTTATAATGACTAAATACTTTATGGTCCATTGCACTTGTGTGGCAGCTTTCAGGTCTGTTGTATAATTTAATAGATGGATGGATTTCATTCAAGAGGTTTTTACATGAAATCTTTCAGGAAAGAAGTGTTGAAGTGTTATTGTAGATATACTGATTCAAAACTCCTTATGCTTCAGTTTCCCCCAAACTGACTTTGAATTATGGTAATAAATGGCTGACTTGCATTATCATGATCCCACTTCATCATGGCTCAAAAGAATCCCACTAATTGAAACACACATTAATAAATAATGCAGAGGAAGTGGCAGGAGATCTGGAAAACATTTCTATTTGATACATTAACTTTATTTCTGCTGGTGTGTGTCTGTGCAAAGGCTTTCCCAGAATCGCATGTACTGCAGGCAGCTCTGGGAGGAAGGGTCAAAGGTCAGGGGCAGGTCCTTACACAGCATCATGGGGCTGGCCGTTTTCCAAGGGCTCCCGCTCCTCCTGTGGTTTGTTCTCCAGGTAGTTTCTCTCCTCCAGGCTGCGCAGCACCAAGCTGTGGAGGATGTGCTGGTTGGGCTTCTGGATTAGTTGCTCAAATAGCCGCAGTGTCATGATGCTGATCTGGGCACAGGGAGGAAGGAATGAGGCTTAGCTCCCACTATCAACCTACAGCAACATGTCAAGTGTTTGCCCACTGACAGAAAAGTAGGCAGTGGCTGCTTGAACATCGAAGAAATGATGACTCATTTCTCTTGTCTGTGAGGAAAATGTGTCCAGATTCTAATTAAAATTCATGTGCTTTTGGTTAATCATATGATTCACTGCAACTCAGAATCTTTGAAGGGCAGATGGCCATTTGTACTTCTGAATACTGAACAAGAAGAAATTAAGAACATGCCATTTTTATTGTTGAATGCACATTAATATGATCCAAGCAAAGATGTACTAAAACTGATCATCCAAAAATAAATGTTAAGGTACATGCATTAGTGGGACCAGGTAGACCCTGAATAATGATTCCAAAAACCTCGTCTGACAGGTGGTCACAGTGCTCGATGAGTCTATGTCTGAGTGGATTCTGAGCCACAGTAGCTGGAGTCTCTGGCTCTCTGTCCTCCCCCAGCAGGAAGTAAACCATCTCCTGCAGCAGAGCCTCTGAAGTCACCTGCCTGATGATCCTGTTCAGCAAGGCTGTGGAGGTCAGGATGCCCACCTCGGACCTATGTGCACCCACAAACACACCATGCGTGTTACTGAGATGTCAGGAAACAAAACACACTGACAAGACTAAAAATCTTGACATGAGATGACTGACTGACAACTGAATGTCTGACTTACGTCTGCATGAGCTGTGGCTCCATCACAGACACAAAGAATCTTTCTCTCACTGCCTTTGCCATCACTGCAGCTGCTGACTGGAAGACAGTGAAGATGAAACAGTGGTTCAATACAAAAACAACTTCTTTAGAGAGATGTTCTTTTATTCTGTCAATTCTGACTACAATGTGACACATCAAAACAGTGAGTCGGCACTAGTGAAGGACCTTGTGAGCCTCCTTGATGAGCTGATCGCAGTAATCTAGCCAGGACAGAAAAGAGATGAGAGCCCTCTTCCCTGTGAAGATACCAGCATCCTCCTTCAGGTTATATACATCCAGGCTGAAAGAGGGAGACAGAATAAAGGTCAAAATATTAAAAGTTTGGTGCAACTCTTCTAATGTCTAATTCAAAACAGCATCTCACTTAAGATGCTATTTAAGGGCAAATTAAATAAAAAAAATAATAAATCAGATGATGACAATTGATTTGTATGCAAGTGGTGTTTACAAGCCACACTTTTGGTTCCATTAAATGGAGAGAAATTTACCCCCAGTTGACTGATTCCACTGTCTCAATGTCCAGGGGGTCCATGGACGGTGGCAGGGCTTTATAGAATGAGACCAGTCTGTCGGTCAGAAGCTCGCAGAGCTCAGTGTTTTCAGTCAAACACTTGGCAGCAGCAGGCTCTGGTAAACTGACCAGCAGCATCAGGCCTTCACATGCCTTCACCACTATCCTACCATCCTGAGTAGAGGAGAGATTGATAGAAAAGAGAACATAGCTCACAATACTAAAGCTCAAATAAATAAATAGAGAATGAATGCTTAACTTAAATCATGGGTTACTCACAGGGCTCTTTGTGAGGTTGAGCAGGCAGGTGACCAAATTGTAATTGTTGCTGTTGTTGTTGATAGTGGTTGGACTAGAGGTAGAGGCAGCTGCTGCAGCCTGTGGTTCTGCTGGGCGGTCGGTCTGTTCCTCCCCTGGAGCCTGACCAGTGTCTGGAGTCAGCACGTTCTCCTTCACCCCCTCTGCTCTTTTAGGACTCGTCGTCTCAAGTCGTTTTGACTTGTTCTGCAAGTAGCACCGCACAATATGAGATACTTTCTGAGCTATGAGCTTAAACCCTGTCTGGCTCTTACTTTAGTTAGTAATATAAGCAAATAAATATTTATCAATGTGCAGCTCAACTAGTTTTTTTCTTGATAGCAACCCACCTCAAGGAAAAAGTTGACAAGGTATGGATCCTGCTTCAGTTTGGAACAGACTGTACAAAGGAACTGAATCTCTTCATTTTCTGTAGGAGCAGCCAACACCTCCCCACACAGACGGATCAGTTTCTGACAGAGCAACATCACAGCCACAGGAAAAAAGTAAGTTACAAATAAGCGGTCTAACCTGGCGGTCAGGGCACATTTAGTGAAAGGCCCATCAAAAACGCACTAACACCCAGACTGCAATACCTCTCACCTGTACAGGTCTGTGGACATTGATGTGTGGCAGGAGAGGCTGACGAATGTGTGCTAGCAGCTTTGTGTAGAAGGTAAGCACCTGCTGCTTCATCCCTGGAGGACACTGATGTGAAATTATACAGACTGTTAGAATTTATTTGGATGGTCCACCAAAACAGATGTGTCCTCACAATGCTGATTTACTGAACAGTCTAACCAAACTGTGATAATCTTTTGTTAGGCTTGAAATTCACTGTTGTATTTCAGCTCATTGTAGTCTTAGTGCTGTGTCCAACTCCTTTAATCTCTACAGGCTCATTGTCCACAACTAATTCTCAACAGTGACACTGGATTTCATCCAGTATCATATCATGTTATGTATATTCTGGAAGTATAGTGCATGTAGTTCCCAAAGCATGACTGTCTTACATCTGCCTTGCCCAAGGTGTAGAGAGTCTCCAGGATCTTATGGTGTAGGAGATACTCCATGCAGGGTCCCGTCTCTCCAGACTCCCTTTCTCCTTCCTCCTGGGTCAGGATGTCCAGCATCTGTTCCAGGTGGGATGGGATGTTGGTATCTGTGACTGGAGCTTTGTCATCTAACAGGGGAAAAGACAGAAACATGTCAAATCATGTTTGTATATAAGATACAAAGCTAAGGGCAAAGCACATATGACACAAACCTAACCTAATATATGTGAAAGAACACAACAGTGCTACCCCACAATGTTGTTTATGATACAATGAATAAATAAAGGTCTTCCATGGTGGGTCACATCAAATTAAACAAATGTTGCATCAAAACTGAAATCAAATCTTTCACATTTTAATGCTCTTTTTAATCAAATGCAAATTTAAAGCATGCATAGTTCAACCTAAAGCACAGGTTAGTTACAAGTGTCAGAATAATATTAAAAGTTAACCAGTGTGAACTCGCTTAAAAGGTAGAATATGAAAACAGCTCATGCTTAATATAATTATGCACAAAATATACTCAGTGAAGCACAAACAACATGTTAATTCAACTCTGTAAAACTAGTGATTACACAAAAACAAGCTCAGCTACATAACTCTCAGATAATCCCGCTTCAGCAGCAAAGTACATTTTTTTAAACCGGCCTAACTAGGAGAGACAACAAAGCTACCATTTAGAGTGAAGGAGACTTTCCTAGCCCAAAATACACAGAGATAAGACATCAACTTAAAGTTCTAAAAATTATAAATGACTGGGTTTAACCACAAAGGACATATCAGATGCAAACTAACAAAAACAGAGTATATAAATTCCACTTCCATGGATCCCACAGATAAGAACGAAGGAAATACCATCAGTCTGCAGCTGCTCTGGTCCAGACAGTTACTGAAGTGGCATTCTCAGCATATGTCATTACATTTTCTACATAACCATTTCCTTTGCCCTGTTTGTGCCCAGTGGTGCTACAGCAGAAAATCTGATTACTGACATTGAGCTATTGTAATATTGTAGAAAAAATATTATATATTTGTTGGCTAGATATCAATGTTGCCATTTGCTTCCTTTTACAATCTGGTAACTTCTTAGGATTCTGAATATTGACAGAATAATTAACAGTAAATGCAACACTATCTGTAGCCATAACATTGTATGATCTACTCATGTTTCCTGCCACTGAACTCAAACATTACATTAGGGTCAAAATACATCAAAAACTTTGAAAGCAACCTGTAAAACTGTCAGTCTACCACTGTGGATAGCATGTTCTTAAACAGGTGTTAGCTTGTTCTTTTGTACTTACCAGATGTCTCAATGTAATAATGTGTAATGGCTTTCCAGTGATAGACAAAATCCTCCTGTAAGGGCAGTGATGGGGCAAGCTGAAAAAGAACAATTGTAAATGTAAACATATTGTATGGCTATGCTGGTAGCTTAGAGAGAAACCATTAATAATCATGGCAACATGTACAGTATACACAACACAGCTCAGAGTTCAAACAAAACCAGCAGCAATTCTACAAACCTTTGGCATCATTTTCTAGTTTTCAGATACCATAAGTCAGTGTATAGTGATCAAAAACAGCCCAGCAGTTTTCAAAATGTTTAATAGCAGGGCAAAACTTTCACGTTCAAATGACAAAGGAAAATCTACTGTACGTCAGCATTTGTATCTCATCCTTATACACACCAACAAGTAAACTGACATGAGTTAACAAGCTAATATCAGAAATTTCCTTTTCAACTAATATCTACGCTCAAAGTCAAAAGTGTTCACTTTGGGTCACTTGTCAGACGTGTATTGTTTGCGAACAGGCTCCAGGCAGGTTAGTACGACCTGGTGCCCACCGATTTAGCTGGCTGGCTTGCTAATGTGTAAGTTAGCAGCAAGCCTTTTTAAGGACTGTGTGAGATAACCCGAGGACTACCGTTGCCCTTTTGGTAATATAGTTACAGCGTTTGCGCAACATCAAACAAGGCTGTTCAATCATTTCAACACCATTCGTCATAAGACCCCGCTGTACGAAACGAGACCTAGCTAGTTAGCTTAGCTTCTCTATGCTAATGTTAGCGGCTAACTAGATCAGCTTGTCAAGCTAACGTTACCTTTAACACAAATTACTTAGTGCAACAAAGAAAATGGCAACAAGGGAATGTATTGGTATCACAAACGAACAAACAAACACAGTCATACGTATACTACAGCTAACGAGAGAAAAACCTAAATGACAACACAAACACAAAACGCTAACACTAGCCCACGCTAGTTAGCAATATATTCATAATGCTGACGTTATGCTGTGATGTTTGATCTTTTAACCATAACAGATGTTATACAAATGTAAGCCAGTGAATAAACATATGGTTAAAGTAAAAACTCACCGCTTCCACGGCGTGCTGGAGAATGGATGTAAATTTGGAGAACATTTTGTTCTTCGACTGGACTAGTTTCTCCCGAGAAGACCTAGAGAATTCCTCTATCTTCTTCTTCCTGTTGCTGCCGCCTCGATCCAGATTGGAGGTTTCATATAATGACCCTTGTAACGAAAGAATAAATGCAAACAATAAAACCGTAACAGGCTGCTGGCCACAGGATTTTACAATGAATATAGAGGGGAAAGGGCTCTTAATTTTAGGGGAGGGGGCATACACTGTAAACAAGGCGTCTACAGACTGGATTAACGTCGCTCACACTGGACACGGTGGCACTTCCCTCGCCAAACGCTACTATTCTAAACCACCAGGGGGCGCAGGAACGCAAGACACAGCCTTATAATTACTGACAAAGATCGATGCACATACAGTAAATGAAGACAGATACCAATGTACTCGTGAGGGGCGATGATCAATATTTACAGGATGGAAACAACGATCAGTAAGTTCACTTCAAATATAAAATCAAGTATGGGATTCAGATAACCAAACATTTATGGCTAGCGAATGTGGAAAAGACTCAGTGAGCTTTAATCCTCTCATATCATTCACTGATTTGGGCTATTTCTCTGAAATTGCGTCCTTTCCCACATAGGTCTGAGGTTCTGCTTGCTTAAAGTGTCACTGCTTGTAGGATGAAGTTGAGGATTCCCCGTGATTGTTGCCTGATATTTTCCTAAAGTAGCCAGATTAACGGAAAAAATGAAACACAACAGTCATTGCTCCATAGTGCTCGTCAACTTTATGATTTAACCCAACTACCACGTCCAGAACACCACAGTCATCTCAGACAAAAAGTAGGCAGATAGCATCTAGGTGACCCGACAGCAGCTGCAGGTGAGGGATTTCAAGAATGATTTAATTTATAACTCCATATGTTTATGATAGTATGTTCAAATATGGACATAAACTTAAACATGGAAAATAAGAAAGACGCTGTCTGTTCCAGGACACGCCCTGTCGCTGGAAAGTGCTCTCTCCATCGCGCAACCTCTACCAAATCGCAGGCTATGTTTCTCTGCGTTTAACCCCATTAAATGAAAGCCAAAATCTTAAAGTATAGAT